TACAGTCAGTGCTTGTTGAATGACTAGAAATGATTTTTCCTAGTTGTGCTAATTTCCCTTAATTTTCAATGGGATAAGCAGCCCTCGAGTCTAATGTCTCATTTTTAAATTTCAGTAACATCTACTCAGGATCTAAAGTGAGAGAACCAATGCTTGGTGTTGTGGAAAATATGAACATGAATAAAATAAGGGGCAGAGACTAGGGCGAGGCAAGTGAGGTACCGGGGGCTCACAATTCAAGGAGAGCTCACTCTCAGGGTCATGCAAATGCCAACCCCACCCAGAGAAAACACAGTCCCTCCCCTCTAAGAGCTTAAAGGCTGGAGAGCAGCTTAGACAAGTAAATCATAGATTAGATTTGGGACCTAAAGCAGATGAAAAAATTCACAAGATAAAAAAGAAAATGGACTGAAGACCTAAATGTAAACACTAAACCTATAAAATTTCTAGGAGAAAATTTTCATGACCTTGAGTTTGGCAAAGAGTTCTTAGATACAATACCAAAAGCATGACCCATAAAATTTTTAAAAAGTGATAAATTGGTTATCAAAATTAAGAACTTATGCTCTTTGAAGGATATCATTAAGAGAATGAAACAACAAGCCTCAGTTGGGGCAAAATATTTGCAATCACATATCTGATAAAGGGCTAGAATCCAGACTAGATAAAGAATTCTCAATATCAGGTGCTGGTGAGGATGCGGAGCAGCTGGGATGCTCACACACTGCTGGTGGGGATGCAAAACGATACAACCACTTTGAAAAACAGTTTGACCGTTTCTTATAAGGTTAAACATACATTTATCATATGACCCCACAATTCCACTCCTAGGTATTTATCCAAGTAAGACCAAAACCTTGGTTCACACAAAAACCTGTACTTGAATGTTTATACTGATTTATGTAAATGGCCAAAATCTGGAAACATCCCAAATGTTCTTTAACTGGGGAATGGATAAACAAATTGTAGTTCATCCATCAATGGAATAGTACTCAGTAATAAAAAGGAAGGAGCTATTGCAATTACATGAGTGAAGCTTAAATGTATTATGCTGAGTGAAAGAAAAGCCAGAATCAAAAAGCTGCATAATGTATGATTAGATTTATGTGATACTCTGGAAAAGGCAAAACTATAGGGACAGAAAATCACAAATCAGAGGTTTCTAGGGAATAACGTGGGAGGAAGATGATTGCAAAGGGGCACGTGGAAATTTGGGGGTGATGAAATGTTCTGTGTCTTAATTGTGGTGGTGATTACACGACTTTATACATTAGTCAAAACTCACGGAACTGTACACTGAAATGGGTGAATTTTGCTATATGTAAATTATACCTTAATAAAAATATTGTAAAAAAAGGAAATAAAAGCAGTTCAAGTCAACAAATGTTTATTGACAATATTAGTGTATTGGGATCTGTGGGATATTATAAAGGAAATGTGATATATAGCCAATCTTGAGAGGCTTACAGCCTTTCTATAAAGTGGGCACTATGCTAAGCACTTGAGACAAAACTGTGAGCAAACAGACATTAATCAAATAATCCTACAAATATAAAGAGAGGGATATAAGTGTGTAAAAATTAATGGCCTGATTGATTCTAGAATGTCAGCAAAGCCCTCTTTGGGGAATGATTCTATTTGAGTTGCGACTGGACTGGACATGGGCTGCAGTGGCGGGGAGGATGGAGGAGTTGAGGGAGGCGCTAAGGTTGACGGGTAAGTCTCTGGATTGTGCAACAGGATAGGTGGTGGAACCTGTCGTGTGCTTTGGAAGAGGAGCAGACTTGGGGTGGAGAGGGAGATCATGAGTTCAACATATGAACAAGAGTTAAACCACAGGGAGCAACACCTGGTTAAGAGCATAACTATGCAGTGGACCCAATAGAAATGAAAACGTGTTCACATAAAAACTTGTACAGGAATGTTCATAGCAGCATTATTCATAATAGACCGAAAATGGAAATAACTCAAAAGTCCATCAATTGGTGAATAGATAAATAAAATGTGATATAGCCATATAATGGAATATTATTTGGCAATATAAAGGAATGAAGTACTGATACATGCTACAACATGGATGAACCTTGAAAACATTATGCTAAGTGAAAGAAGCCAGCCACAAAAGATCATGTAATGGAGTGGTCTTTGGGAATATTCTATGATTCCATTTATATGCCATTTCCAGAATAGGGAAATCTATAGAGTCAGAAAATAGATTAGTGGTTGCCTAAGGCTGGGGGCGTGGGGAGAATAGGGTGAATATTAATGGGTACAAGGTTTCTTTTTAGAGCGATGAAGATGTTCTAAAATTAATTGTGGTGATGGTTACACAACTCTGTTAATATATTAAAAACCATTAAATTGTACACCTTAAATGGGTGACTTGTACAGTATGTCAATTATATCTCAAAACTTTTTTTTTTTTTCCCCTGGGGAATATCAGCCCTGAGCTAACATCCACGCCAATCCTCCTCTTTTTGCTGAGGAAGATTGGCCCTGAGCTAACATCTATTGCCAATCTTCCTCCTTTTTTTTTTTTTTCCTTTTTCTCCCCAAAGCCCCAGTAGATTGTTGTATGTTACAGTTGGACATCCTGCTAGTTGCTGTATGTGGGACGCCGCCTCAGCGTGGCCGGATAAGTGGTGTGTTGGTACGCGCCCAGATCCGAACCTGGGCTGCCAGTAGCGGAGCGCGCGCACTTAACTGCTAAGCCACAGGGCCGGCCCCTCAAAACTTTTTTAAAAAGGAAGAAAGAGAATCTGTATAAAGATGTTTTAGATGTTCTATTTAAAATATTGAAATCTAGAACTCATCCAAACACCCCTCTGTGGGAGAATGGTTATAAAAATTATGACATATAAATAAGATGGAATTCAACAATTAAAAACACATCCAACGCCAAGAAGGCAATTAATTTGGAAAGATGTAAATAAAGCTTCATTTTTATTGTAAGAAACAAAAAGTGTTCAGTGGAGAAAGATGCAATCGATTTGAAGAAAAGCAAGATCCAGCCAAGTGTTGGCTGGAGATGCAGAAGGATGGGAGATTTGAAAAGCACCAGTCAAGAGCAAGGGCAGTGCATTTCCAGAGCTCTGTCACAACAGGCTCAGAAGCGGCTGTGTTGGCTTTTTCCCTGGTGGGGAGTGGGCAAGAAGCCTGGGCAGGTGGGATGTACATTTATGGCTTAGGGTGAGGCGCACTGAATTGGGTTCTATGCGCACAGAGGAAAGCATTGGTAGAGAAACAACTTTTTTTTTTTTTTTTTGTGAGGAAGATCAGCCCTGAGCGAACATCCGTGCTAATCCTCCTCTTTTGGCTGAGGAAGACCGGCTCTGAGCTAACATCTATTGCCAATCCTCCTCCTCCCCTCCCCCTCAAAGCCCCAGGAGATAGTTGTATGTCATAGTTGCACATCCTTCTAGTTGCTGTATGTGGGACGCGGCCTCAGCATGGCCGGAGAAGTGGTGCATCAGTGCGCGCCCGGGATCTGAACCCCGGGCCGCCAGTAGCGGAGCGCGCACACTTAACTGCTAAGCCACGGGGCTGGCCCCAAGAAACAACTTTCTAAGCTCTTAGCTCTTTCCTCCACCCCCTGCCTAAGACTTGAGCACTTTCTAAATGCACCTACTACCATTTTTTGAGCACTCACTCAATGCCAGATATTACATTAAGTTTTTTATATGCTTCATCCTATAGCATCCTTACAACATGTTTATGAGATAGGTATTATTATTATCCTCCTTTTACAGATGAAGAACCATGCCCAATGTCGCACAGATCATAAAAGATGGAGCTGGGATTCTAACCCAGACTCTCTAACTCTTCAGTCTGAAGGATGTTTTTTTTTTTTAATAAATCTTTATTTATTTATTTTTATTTCCCCCAAAGCACCAGTAGATAGTTGTATGTCATAGTTACACAGCCTTCTAGTTGCTGTATGTGGGACGCGGCCTCAGCGTGGCCGGAGAAGCGGTGCGCGCCTGGGCTCCGAACCCGGGCCGCCAGCAGCGGAGTGCGCGCACTTAACCGCTAAGCCATGGGGCCAGTCTCTGAAGGATATGTTTGAATCAAGATATGACCCTGCTCAGGAAAACCATTTTCACAGCTTCCTAAGCTGTTCCACTTTTACAACCCCCTGAAGGTGGCCCGCCTGTTTGCTAGACCATGGATTCTAAGACAGCACTTTGGTGTTCCCAGTTGTTGTTTGAATTAAGCCACAATAGTTGAGTGAGGTAAGGTATGAAAGCTACCGGGAGCCCTCAGGTTGATGAGGCAGATCAAAGTACAAATCCACAAGTCAAACACACTTGCAACTTCATTCTCTGAAAGATCCAAGTTGCCACAGCTTTATGTGTTAACAGCTTTCTCTTTTTTCTGAGGAAACTGCTCCTCTATGCATTAAAAAAAAACGATTGTTGTTCCTTGCCATCCAGGCCCTGCCTGTTCTTGGCTCCAAACCCCACACCCCAATCCCTTCTGCTCTGGGACCTTCCATAAACATTGCTTGAATTACACTAAAAATTCAAATAGAGTGACAGAAGGAGATCCCCAGATACTACATGATTGTAGTGGCCTGGTTTCAAATGTTCTGCCCTGCTGAAGGTTCCTCTATAAATGATTCCCATTTACATTCTCTCGGTAGTCTCTGCCAGAAAAAATGGTGGCTACCTGAGGCTGTTTCCAAAAGGAAGGTAGGAAGCTGCATCGCAATGATTCTCCTCTCCCTTCCTTTCTCCGTCTCTTCCCCTCCCTCCCCCGAAGTATTTTGATCACGTAAGAAAAACAAGGACAACTGTGTGCTCCAGCAGGAGCACTGAAGGGAGCTCTTTGTAACACAGTGTTCAAAATACTCAGAGATCGGGCTTGACCCCAAGTTGCAGGATGAACCCGTCTTGAAGATTTTGTTCCTGAATTTACCAGCGTGAAATTTTCTAGACACTTTATTGTGGGCCCTCTAAGATGTCAAAATAATGTGCAGCCATCAGCAGAGACAGGGAAACACCATTTCCTCAGGTTGACTAATGGTGGGAAAGGGCAGCGTCTTTAATACTTGGCTCCTCGATCTGTAGTCCTTGCAAGCGGCTTTGGCATCGTCTGGGAGCTTGTCAGAAAGGCAGACTCTCCAGTCCCACCCCAGACCTTACTAGTCAGAATCTGAATGTTAACAAGATCCGCAGGTGATTCCTATACACGTCAATGTCTGAAGCAATGGCTTAGGAGATTAGTCTCCTTTGCCAGTAATGATGGAGTTTCTGGTCTCGCCTTTGAGGCTATTAATCCCTTAAGGGCTTTGTGCAATTTATTATCCAATAAAGCACTGGGAACCATGCTTAGCATCTGACACACCCTCCACCTCTGTGTCCTAACTGCTCCCCATGACATTGTGATTCATAATAAATGTATATTTGGTCTTTCTCCCGTTTCTGGCACAGAGCTCCTAAACCCTTGGAATTTTGTAAGTGATAAGAGCAGAAAAAAGTGTCTTGATATTCATAACAAATCCCTTTCAACCACACCTGAGTTTATGTTAATGAGGTGACTTTTGCAAAACTCCTAAGGATGGGAGAGGGTTGCCAGGGGAACCAATATGTGATGGGAGGGTTGCAGACTTTCAGTCCCACCCCCCTGACCTCCCGGAAGGGGAGAGGGGCTGGAGGTTGAATCAATCACCAGTGACCATTGATTTAATCAATCGTGCCTGTGTAATGAAGCCTCCATAAAAAGCCAAAAGAACAGGGTTCGGAGAACTTCCAGGTTGGTGAACAATGAGATTGGGGAGAGCAGCTTGCCTGGAGAGAGTACGGAAGCTCCACGCCCTTTCCCGAGACCTGGTCCTATGTATCTCTTCCATCTGGCTGTTCCTGAGTTATAATATACTGTATAGTATATAATATAGCTAATATATCTAATATCTAACTATAATATAATATACTTTTATAATAAACAGGTATCTAGTAAGTAAATGTATCTCTAAGTTCTGTGAGCCACTCTAGCAAATCAGTCGAACCCGAGGAGGTCTTTGGAACCACCAGTCAGAAGCACATGACAACCTGGACTTGGGATTGGTGTCTAAAGTAGAGGCAGCACGGGGCAGTCTTGCAGGACTGAACCCTTATCCTGTGGGATCTGACGCTATCTCCAGGTAGACAATGTCAGAATTGAGGTGAATTGTGGGACACCCAGCTGGTGTCAGAGAATTGCTTGGTGGTGTGAGGAAGACTCCCCCAAACACATTGTAATTGGCGGCCGGGATCTTACTCCTCCATGAAATTTTAATATCTGTTTATATATTACATGTATATGTGTATATTTGTATACTATATGCAAGATTTTCTCACCCTCCCCTAAGAACCAATTTTTGTCCCCTTGGGGATGCAATCACTCCCATGGAGAACACCTCATCTTTCATGAATGAAATATTTGTGGATATTTGCTATGTGCTAGACTGTCCTCATAGTGAGGAGCCTGGTGTTTGGGGCTCTGGAAAGGCTGTCTGGGCAGAAGAACAGGCCCAGGGGCCTTGGCCAGATGTGACAACATTTCTCATCGTGGAGGAAACAGTTAAGACCCTGGGTTTACCCTCAGCACAGTGGCTGCTGCAGGAAGAGCCCTGGACTGTGAGTCAGGAGACCCAGAGTCCAGCCCCAGTCCTGCTCATGTGGCTCCAGGTCAGTCATTCCATCTCTCAGCACCTCCGTCACCAGCTTGAACTGAGAGGCTTGAACTGAATTGGCACTTTTAAAGAAAAAACATGCTGTGAGTCTAAGGGTAGGCAGGTTGGTGAGCTGGAAGCGGGACACAGGACCTGTAGGGGAAGGATCTCGGCCCAGTGTCACAAAGATGCACCGGTACCCTCCAGACGGCCTTCCACTCCACCCCCGCCTGCCCCAGGGGCTGCTTAGGCAGGAGCCCCTTCAGTGCCCACCTGCTTTTCCTTAGATACTAATAAATTTTGTTTTTGCGAGATTGGGCCAATCCCTAAATAATTCCTTTCCATGTCCACCCTTTACCCGAATCAACGACTTTGGGGAAAAGACTTAAAATTCCACTCCATCCAACCGTTGGAAAGGGGCCCAAAGAGAGTGTACCAAGGAGCTGGAAGAAGTGGTAGCCAGGCATGTCAACCAGGAGACAGTGAAACGCGGGACTGAGAGTCTGAAGAAGCTCAGCCATGCTCAATGGAGAAGGATTAAGAGGTTGAGCTATTCTGGCCTGGTGTGCTGTCCTGGCAGCCCCAAGAGGCCTTGGGGGGCCAGGCTCGCTGGCAGCGCAGCGCTGGGGAAGCACAGACTGCAGAGGCTGGCGACTCAGCGTGAGTGGCTGTGGGCTTGTGGCAGGGTCTACAGACCCACAACAACCCCGTAAACCCAAACACTCAAGGCTTGCCAGCCCAGACTGGATACCAAGGGGCCTCCACTGAGATCCCGCTCACATGATCCTATAGTCTATTTGAAGAGATAAGACCTAAAAAGATGGTCATGATTTTCTGTTATTAAATGAGAAATGAGTCTTGGGGGGAAAAAGTGTTACAGGATTTCAAGAATCCTTTCAACACTTCAATCCTTTCAAGACATTCTGGAAAGCCTTGATGGAGGAAGAAGGCCTTTGGGCTGGATCTGGAAGGACCAGCTGAGACTCTGCTGAGGTGGGGAAGGACATTCTGGAAGGGGAAAAGCAGGAAGTGCCCTCTGCTTCCAGGCATGAGTGAATGACCCTGAGGAACCTGTGGGGCTGCCGGTTCTGGTCTAGCTGCATTCTGCCTGAGCCTCATCTGAGAAAGAATGATCTTAGCAATCATGGGAAGAGTCAGCAAAAACAATCCAGGAAGTGACTCCAAGATCAGGACCCTGGCAACTGCCCAGGCACCAGAATTCAGGCAAGCTTCAGTGGCACTGTGTGACAATCAGGGTGACTCGGGTTTAGGACTCTCCAAGGAGAAAGGGCAGCTGAGCCCTGGAGAGAAGCAGGCAGAAGAAGAGCTCTTGCTGGAGACATCGTCTGGGTGCTGGTGCCACCCACCAGCTGCTGGTACCCTTGGGCAGGCGCTGGCATTTCTCTGGGATCCTGCATCCTTAATGTCAGGCAGGTCACATGGTTGGAATCGCTACTGATTCCAAGTTTCCAAACAATTCTGAAATGTTCTACATCGATGGGTTGGGAATTGTAGCAGGAAATGGGAGGCAAATGACCTGGAGATGGGCTGGGGCAAGTGTTAGGCAAAGACAAAAGGGAAATGGGAAGAGAAAAAGACGGAACAAAGATGCCTTTGTCCACCAAGTTACAGAACCTCTGATTTTGGTGGGAAGATGACTGGAAAATTTGTCTTTTCGCTCCCCTCAACCCCAACTTACTGGAGAGAAGACCCAAACGGAGAGTCTGAGAATCCTACCTGTTAACTAAGAGTGGATGTGTGATTTCAGGAGGAAACTGAGAAAGGTGATGAGGGAGGGTCACTCTTTGATCTCCTCTGGAGAGGGAGGTGGCACACCAGAATCTGGAGGGTGGGGAGTAGTTTACAAAAGCAAGCAGTGTGCTTGTCCAGAGTGGGAGAGAAAGGGGGGGGCCCAGCTAGCACCAGAGCTGTGAGAAGAGAATGTAACCTTTGTGCACGAGTCAGGAAACCCAGCAGCCCTGTCTATCTATGGTCCTAGGGACCAAGGAGGGCCCAGGACACTCAGGCCACAGACAGGAGGCCGGGAGGAGCCTGGGGCTCTGGGCTGTGAGCCCTCGTCCCGCAGCGTGACCTGGGCAAGCATACTTGTTCCTGGAATCACTGACTGCTCTGTATGAAGTCAGGGGTCCTATGTGAACTACTTCCCAAACTGACATTCTTGGACTCTTTGTTCTTCAATTATGTAGTTCTTTAGAGAGTCGCCTCTCATTTACTCTACCTCAGAGGAGTATTTTAAGGAAATTTATAAAAATAAATAGTCCCTTTACATAAACTAAATCATTATAGGGATATTGACCAGAATAGACTAGGGGTGTTTTCCTAAGCTGAAAATTTCATAGAAGTGCAGCTAAAAGCAATCATGCTCGCCCCAGTTTGTAGGCCTGTAACCCTCCATTGTGCTGGGTGTGCCTGGAGAGATGTGCAGCTGAAGGCACCAGAAGGTCCAGAGAATTATGCCGATGTTTCTTTTCCCTATTGTCACCTGTTATAGACTCTGGCATGGAGCCCAACTCAGGGGGCACCCAGGAGTCCCCCTGCTCTAGCCTCCCCACTCCCCCCCTCTCCATCTACTCCCCTTCCTCTCAGCATTTGCTTGCTTTCTCTAAGCCAAATATTTATCATTTTTTAAGTTCTGGAGTATTTCAAACATGCCAGCTGAGAGGCTCCATCACCTCAGTATTTAATGAACACTTCCACTTTGGAGATTCCAGGCCTCAGTTTCCTCAAACGTAAAGCTATGAGGTTGGTCCCAGCCAGCAGTCTTTACTGTATAATATAAAAAACACTTGGGGCCGGCCCAGCAGCATAGCGATTAAGTGCGCGTGCTCTACTTCGGTGGCCTGGGGTTTGCAGGTTCGGATCCCAGGCGCACACTGACGCACCGCTTGCCAAGCCATGCTGTGGCGGCATCCCATATAAAGTAGAGGAAGATGGGCACGGATGTTAGCCCAGGGCCAGTCTTCCTCAGTAAAAAAGAGGAGGATTGATGTCGGATGTTAGCTCAGGGCTGGTCTTCCTCACACACACACACACAAAAACACTCATGTAGCAACCACTCAGATTCAAGAAATGTTAACTTCATGCCATGTTGACTTCAGAGTCTTAAAAAATGAAAGAAATCCACCAGCATGCAAATAATCAAAGAAAAAGGAAAATAACAAGTATTAGCGAGGATATGGAGAAACTGGAACCCTCATGCATTGCTAGTGGGAATGTACCATGGTAGAGCCACTGTGGAAAACATCTTGGTGGTTCCTCAGCAAGTTACATGTAGAATTACCATATGACTCAGCAATTACACTCCTAGGTATAGATGCAAAAGAACTGAGAGCAGGGACTTGAACAGATATTTGTATATCAATGCTCATAACAGCATTATTCACCATAGCCAAAAGCTGGAAACAACCCAAATATCCATTGACAAATGAGTAGATAAATAGGATATGGTATATACATACAATGAAATATTATTCACCCTTGAAAAGGAATAGAATTCTGATACATGCTGCAACATGGATGAACCTTGGACATTATGCTAAGTGAAATAAACCAGCCACAAAAGGACAAACAGTGTATAATTCCATTTATTTAAGGTACCTAGAATAGGCATATTCATAGAGACAGAAAGTAGAATAGTGGTTACCAGGGGCGAGGGGGAGGGAGGAATGGGGACTTATTATTTAATGGGTACA